TAAACATCTCTAGCAAGCTGCAGTATGAAAAGAGGCAGAAAAGCCAAAGTGTAAATACAATTTTAAGAGTGCTTTTTGCTTGTATAATTCCGATATATACATATTTGGATACTCATTGTCTGTACAGAGATTGTTCAATGTGTATGATCAATTTTTATGTGATCTATGGAAGGAGGCTGCAATACTTGTTGAGTTGTTTGAGTACAAATTAAACTTCTCAAACCAAATCAAACACTTTTATGTGCACTGAAACAATGATAAATTATTTTACATTTCAAATTTCCAAACACTATTACATTTTTGACTTAATTTCATTATTTATTTATTATTTGTTTTTATACAGCTTAATCAGGACATTCAGGTTCGTCACAATGAGGCCCAACGCGAAGCCCGCAAGAGAGATAAGCTTGAACGGGACTTGAGCAGTGCCAAGACTGAGCTTGAAGCAAAGATCTCTGATTTCAAGAACTTACAGTCACAGATTGAACGTTATAAAACTGAGAAGGATAAACTTGAACAGCAACTTAGAGAACAGAGGGTACGTGAAAAAATGTAACTTTAATTTGTATAATTCAGAAAAGTACAAAATATAATTATAGTGTTATCCTCTCCATCAGTTGAACAAAAGCCTTAGAAACTGAGGCTTCAGAAACTTTCAGGATGTTATGTGTAACAAAATAGTTGTACATTCACTTTATACAGAATAATTTTCTAAATTGTCAGTAGTGATTCGATAGTCTGAGGAATGAAAGGACAATGAACATAATGTATAGCATTAGTTTAAACATTTGTTTGTAACCTTAGACTTTGTAGAAACTGATAATAATGAAGTTGCATATTTCCAAAATTGTTTTTATAGAAGATACTGTCAATATAATTGTTATCTTTAAGTCGTGAATACTCAGTAAAATCACTTTGATCTTTAGGTTTTGAGTGAGCGTACAATCAAAGATGCAGAGTTACTGAATTCCCGTCTCAATAAATTAACCACAGAATATGAGAATCAACTGATTAGTGCTGATGCATTGGCTCAAGAAAACCAGGTTCGAGCTGCAGAACTCAAGGTAAATTTCTTCAAGTAGTGATGTAAATTTCTCCAGTGAACACTTTTTTTTAAAGTTTAAATGGAATATACACTAAACTTAATACATTAATTACATTTTAATTAGTTCTGTCTTATAACTGTTTTTTTTTTTAAAGTACAAGCAATTCACCTTAAAGGTCATTTGTGCTGTTTATAGTATTTTATGAAGATGGGGCTTAGGCGTTGCGAAAGCGCTTCAAAATGCTGGGTGCCGCGTTCGATCCCAAATGCGGGTGGTTTGTCTTGAGTTGGTTTCGACAGTGGTACCAAGAGCTGACTGTTCAGTAGGCAGTGGCAGACTTCAGAGCATAAAATGCCTAGAAAAAGCACAATAACCACTAACTTTTATGAAGATGGAAGGCAAATGTATATGCTACAGATATGTAAAAGATATCATAGACTAATTGAAAGTAGAAGCAATACTTTAAGACCTTTTTCAGGACAAAGAAGGATGAGGAAGAAATGTCCTTTGTATTGTTAATTTATTTAGTCAGTTTTATTGTTGTGTATACTTTAATTATTAACCTTTGGTTTTAAGTTATTGGGAAAAGGGGGGGGGGGGGGGTAACAGTACAAATAACAGCACATGTTTTGCATTTCCTTGCACAATGCTTTATTTGTTTGCAGTCTGCAGATGATAGCTGATATTGTAATTTCAGCTAAAAGATGATGAGGTTAACAACCTCAAAAATGAGGCGCAGAGACAGAACAAGTTAAGGGAGGAGGGTGGGGGGAGGTAACAGTACAAATAACAGCACATGTTTTGCATTTCCTTGCACAATGTTTAATTTTTTTGCAGTCTGCAGATGATAGCTGATATTGTAATTTCAGTTGAAAGATGATGAGGTTAACAACCTCAAAAAATGAGGCTCAGAGACAGAACAAGTTAAGGGAAGCACTACAGCGTAAACTTCGAAGTGTTGAGGATAGCAAGTCAGAAGTGGAGCAACAGAGAGAGACCCTGAAAGGACAGATTACTGGCCTTGAAAGAGGTAAATTTACATTTATTAACACATAGAAGAAATCAGTATCAGGAACAGTCAGAGAACCACAACAGTCTAAATAATTAAACTTCTTGAAAAAGGTTAAAATTACATTTATAAGCACATAGAAGAAACCAGTATCAAAAACAGTGAGAGAACCACAACAGCGTGAATAGTTAAACTTCTTGAAAGAAGTAAAATTACAAAAATAAACACACAGAAGAAACCAGTATCAGGAACAGTGAGAGAACCACAACAGCATAATTAGTGAAACTTCTTGAAAGAAGTAAACTCACATATTTAAGTACATAGAAGAAACTACTATGAGGAACAGTGAGAGAACCACAACAGCATAAGTAGTTATAAAATTGCTGCATTAAATGTGGCAGTCTCATGCATCTATGCCTTAAGCGTAGCAAACACGCTTCATAATTTGGAAGTACCCAGTTTGATTCCAGCTGGGGACGATTTAGAATCAGACTACTTAATGTTGATTTCAACAGTGATATCAAGGGCTTAATGTTCAGAAGGCAATGGCAAACTACCAAACATACAAATCCCTAGTTAAACCAACCAGCCACAAAATGCTAGGGCTGGTTTTGCAACACTCTGTAAAGGTTACACAACTAACTTACTTATCTCATGCTGTTAATACTGTAAGATATTTACTGTCTTAAATTACTGAGTGGCAGAGCGGGACTGTACCTTCTTCTGACTTAAGTAGACCATGTATAAAGCGCATATTGGACTTTACAAAGTAATTAACAAAACAAATAATTCATTTCATTTCTTCTTCTTCGTGTTCACCGGCTGTAAACTTCAGCGGAAAGTTCTGGTTATTCGTCCACCTCAGGACTTTAGTCTTGTTGCAGAACCTGAATATTGTGTGTACATCCATTTAACAGATCTGGATAATTTTTATGCAGACTGTTGGTTCCTTGCCTCTTAGGCGTATGCATTCTGACTTTGAAGGAAGCTCCCAGTTAGTCGACTCCTACAACATGCAAAATAATCACATTAAAAATCCCTGAGTTGGAAATTGAAAAGATTAGACTGTTGCTTAGACATCATATTAACATTAAAATCACCCCCACCTGCCCTATTTAGAAATATTAAAAAAAAAATCTAAAGTGTTTTTCTCATTACAGTTATTCAGATCATTACAGGGTAGTAGAGTTCATGTACTGAGTCTGGTGCCTCCTAGTTTGCATAGAAATAGAAACACTTTTGAAAAAAATTTCTGTTTCATAAGGATGACCATTACAAACCAAACCAAATAAATATTGGTGTCAGAAAAAAGTAAGACATCTACTTCCTGTTTCTTAAGAAAAGTAACCTCTGGAATAGACTAGGTAAAACTGGTAATACATGTATAAACAATTTTGAAAGAATATTCCTATCACATTTCTATCATCTCTGTAGATATAAACGCATACAAATGCAATAAAAAACTCACTTTTCATGGCGTGGCACTCTTGCTACAATGTTTCCTAGAAATGTCAAACATTTTCATCAAGTAAAACAGTTTACAATAAAAGATAACATGCACAGCTGTTGGCCTGTGATTCTTGCTGACATGTGTTTATGGCAAAAATATTCCAGATAATTTTGTGTCCAGCATATCTAAAGAAGTTGGCTTTGTGGCTAAGTCGATGCGAACACTTCATAATGCCGGGATGCCGGGTTTGATCCCAGCTGTGGGCCACGCGCCTTGCATTGGTTTTGACAGTGGTATCAAGAAAGCCGACCGTCCAGAAAGCAATGGCAAACTACTGGACGTAAATTTGCCTTAAAAAACCACACAACATCCAGGGGCTGTTGGAGAGGGTTTTGACAGTGGTATCAAGAAAGCCGACCGTCCAGAAAGCAATGGCAAACTACTTGACGTAAATTTGCCTAAAAAAACCCACACAACATCCAGGGGCTGTTGGGGAGGGTTCTGCAACGTCCTGTAAAAGATACTCAACTAACCATATCTAAAGAAAAAATATTTAAGGAACATTATCAGAATGTGATACATACTATGCATTAACAATTAATTTTGTTACATTGCAACTTAAGTCAAGCAGATTGTGCATGATATATAATGAAACAATCGTGAAGATAAATAATCAATTATTTAAATCAAATAAAAAAATTATTGCCTGGGATAAATGAGAGGAAAAACTATGACACTGAGGATACTGTGGTCCACTTTAGCAGAAAGAAATGGTACACCATTTTAAATTAACCACTTTATTGCTATATTTGAATAAAAGACAAGTATTTAGTTTTATTTCTTTAAAAAAAAAACTGTTTAAAAAAATGCTTACACATTGTGCATTTTTCTGTTGTTGCAGAAGGATTTTTAAAAGAACAGGATTTAGAACTACCTGTCCTAGAGCAATTACCTTACATACATATTAAAAAAAAAAAAAAAAACCAAAAAAAAACAAAAAAAACTTATCTTCTTTTCCTATGGGAAATAATGTATATATATCTGTACTGTACTATAAATCACAAACCATTTCTATGTTTCATGTGTTTATTTTAAGTGTTAACTCCTCTTGAACCATGGCCACTTCACAGGTTAAACTTTTAGTTGTAAATTATGGCTACAGTCTGTAGTTTAACAGTCACTTTGGCAGTTAGCTTACAAAGATGAAAGATGAAGTAGAAGATGGATTTTAAATGAAGGGTTTTAGGTTAGACCCCAATTTCCACCAGGCCTACATATAGGGCAGCGGTGGAGACCACGATGAAGAAGAGCGGGAGAATCAAGAGTTTCTGTAACTTTCCCGGGCGAAGCTGGGCAGTAAAATCTAGTGTAATATAATATAATATATATAATAGAATCATAAAAATGAAAAATAATGTGAATATTGCAACTTGAAAAGCAACCATGGCATGCAAGTTAAAAAATATTTTTTTTTAATCGTATGTGTTGTTTTCAGAGTTGGAATTAGCGAAGAAACAAATGGAGACTGACAAAAAAGCCATTGAAGACCTTATTAGAGAGCGAGACATCCTTAACAAGGTAAGATGTCTGAAAGCAGTGTGATTTATTTGTCTGACATGTTTAAGTCATTAAGTCATCATACTGAAGCCATTACTGAGGATGGCGCTGCGGGGAGTTACCAGGGGATCTGGCCGACGCTCAGCATTCAAGCGAAAGACGAGCGGGATGTACAATCGGATATTTACTGGTATCAATCAGAACTGGAACTCTTCGGTTGCTGCTGAAGATGGGGATGGAGCGCTCATGGGAGTGTCTCAAGTGCCATGATGTGGATTCTTAATTCAACATTCAACATTAAACTGAAGTCATTACTGTAAAAGCCAGGAAGTATTTTGGCACTAACATTCTGAAATGGTAGTCAAAGAGTTGATGATTATAAATATTGTTTGCCTCAACTACTTGTAAACTTTTTAATTTTTGCCATTTCAAAAGAATAACATTTTCTGACTAATTTTCCAGAGTTGGCTTTTTATTCAAACCACTTTCCTCCTTCATACATCTTTAGTTTTATATAGTGAAGTAGCCTAATTTTGTTTAAATTTAGATTGGTGTAGTAATTTTGGTATAAGGGTAAAGTTGAGGCTGTTGTACTGTTTTTAAGGGGATAGATACCTGTTACCTCACTAAATACCTGCAGGCTCGGTGGATTATATCCTGCATCAACCTAAACTGAGTTGGCAGGGGATCTTAGAGCTGGTGACCTAAGAGATGCAGTGTCCAGAAAATCTCTGGAACTTATTAGCCCACCCCAGTGCATGGAGGTAACATCTGTTAACTTGTTTGGGACTTGGGTAAAGTCCATTAAATTAGTGACAGTATGAAAAATTTTCTCCAGCGCTTTGTTGTATCCAGTATAATGGTTGGTATAACTTATTTGTCTCATGTCATAAATATAAGAAAATATAATAAATAAATATAAGAAATAGTCAAACCTTAAATGTTACAAAATAATAGTCAGACCTTCAAGAAATAGAAGTTTAAGTTTTGCTAATGCATCACAGATAAAATGGGCTGCACATAAAGTCTTCAAATATGACAGTATTAAGAGCAGATGAACAGAGTAGAGTTTAGAAATAGTAGATTAACACTTTAGATGAGCAGATACCTGTAAATAAATCTTTAACAATAGAGCTGATAGATAAAAATGGTTGTGTTTATAAATTTGTTCCAGTGTAAGATTGTATTAGCCAGGCAATAACATCATTGATAGTAAGTTGTAGTATCTTCAGATGTTACTCTTCCAAGCACAGAAGTAGGTTCAGTAATTTTATGTTACCCCAAACAAAGGACACCCTGAAATCCCCAATCCACTCCACTATTCTAGGGGTGTAATGATGTGACTTCATTCGGTTTTTACACAATGTATGGAAAAGTGTGCATGTGCACCTGGTGAAAAAAACACACACTGTTGTGCATAGGAAATTGACTGCTGCATAAGAAACTGTTTCTTTGTGAGCAACTGTGCTGCAATGTTCTTTGTGTGTGTTGTTGTGTGAGCAAGAGCTGTGTGGCAATTGTCAAGGGGGTATGAGAATTGGGGAGGGAGAGGAGCTAAAAAAAAAGGGACCATCTTTGGAAAAGAACGGATGGACTGACAGTCTCCATGTGTATAAACTGCTGGGTTACCAATGAGCTGACATTCATAGTTTTGCACCATTATTAGATATGGACATTTAATCATTGAATACAACTTACTGATTGAACTCTTGATCTGCCAGCCGGTATCAACATGGTAGTATGTTCCTGCTAGTTCAGTCACATTCTTTGTTCATCAGTGTTTTCTAGCCTTAGTTCAAGTTAATATATATGTAATTCCACTTGTAATCCCATCTTTTATAAAAATATAACAGTATACTTATCTGTTACTACAGTTTTCTCATGTAACTAGTGTTTTGTTGTTTTAATTCAGCTCATGTAATTTCACTTACAGTCCAGATTTACAATGTCATTATTATAAAAAATCATCAACTAGCACTGTATCATCTAATAGTGGAAAAACTGTTCTATTTACAGAATCTCCTGAAAGCTGCAGGTGCCACCCAGAAACAGTTGCATCTGGTGAAACTTCATGAACAGTCTAAGAAAAATTTGGAGCAGGAAATTTCTAATTACAAAGAGGAAGCTCAGAAGCAGCGTAAGATCATATACCAGCTTGAAAAAGAAAGGGATCGGTACATCAATGAGGCCAGTGACCTCACACAAAAGGTACAGTTGAATTTAAGCTTGCTTTACTTTACATATTTAGTATGTGAAAACATTTCATAATCCTCTACATCAGGGTTAGATTTCCAACACAGATGATCTTTTGGACCTTGATATGAGTGATGCACCATGGAAGACATAGAAACCTCACCATTTATTACTCTCAAAGATTGCAGAGAATGCACATATCTACTGCAACAGTGGCGATGGCACAGTCAGTTTAAAAAATAGCAATTCATTGAAGCAAAAAAATGCCATTCATCCTCTACAACATAGCTAGCTTGAATGGATAGGTAACAGTAATTGGGTTACAGATAATACTGTGCAGTCACTACTACCATGCAGACACTGCTGCCGTTTAGTCACTGCTGCCATGCAGACACTGCTGCCATGCAGACACTGCTGCCATGCAGACACTGCTACTATGCACTCACTGCTACCATGCAGACACTACTACCATGTAGTCACTGCTACTATGCAAACACTGCTACAATGCAGACACTGCTACTATGCAGACACTGCTACCATGAAAACACTGCTGCCGTGCAGACACTGCTACCATGCAGACACTACTACCATGTAGTCACTGCTACTATGCAGACACTGCTACCATGCAGACACTACTACCATGTAGTCACTGCTACTATGCAGACACTGCTACCATGCAGACACTACTACCATGTAGTCACTGCTACTATGCAGACACTGCTACCATGCAGACACTTCTAGCATGTAGTCACTGCTACTATGCAGACACTGCTACCATGCAGACACTGCTGCCGTGCAGACACTGCTACCATGCAGACACTGCTGCCATGTAGTCACTGCTACTACGCAGACACTGCTGCCATGCAGACACTGCTGCCATGCAGACACTGCTGCCATGCAGACACTGCTACCATGCAGACACTGCTGCCATGTAGTCACTGCTACTACGCAGACACTGCTGCCATGCAGACACTGCTGCCATGCAGACACTGCTGCCATGCAGACACTGCTGCCATGTAGTCACTGCTACTACGCAGACACTGCTGCCATGTAGTCACTGCTACTACGCAGACACTGCTGCCATGCAGACACTGCTGCCATGCAGACACTGCTGCCATGTAGTCACTGCTACTATGCAGACACTGCTACCATGCAGACACTACTACCATGTAGTCACTGCTACTATGCAGACACTGCTACCATGCAGACACTTCTAGCATGTAGTCACTGCTACTATGCAGACACTGCTACCATGCAGACACTGCTGCCGTGCAGACACTGCTGCCATGCAGACACTGCTACTACGCAGACACTGCTACCATGCAGACACTGCTGCCATGCAGACACTGCTACCATGCAGACACTGCTGCCATGCAGACACTGCTGTTGTGCAGACACTGCTACGTGATGATGATGCCAAATATTTATTTTGTTTTTTTATTTATATTTTTCTAGGTGTTACAGCATATGGAGGATGTCAAAGTTCGAGAGATGCAGATCTTTGATTACAAGAAGAAAATTGCAGAAGCAGAGACTAAGCTGAAGCAACAACAAAACTTGTATGAGGCAGTTCGTTCAGACAGGAACCTGTACAGCAAAAATCTGATTGAGTCACAGGTTTGACATGTGCTGTCCACATCTTTTGTGAAAGTTTTCTTAATTTTTGTATTCCCTTTTTAATTTTAAACAAGATCACAAACACTGAGGCATTAAGAGCAGTTATTACAACAGTTTTCTCAATACCCCGTATACGACGGCTCAGGTGGCTGGGTCACACCTGGAAAATGGAGGATGGAAGAGTCCCTAAGGACATCCTCTATGGTTAATATAAGACAGGTAGAAAATGTTGAGGCCAACCTCTACTACAAAATAAAGTTGTGTTCAAGTGGGACATAAATGATACATGTATTGAGGTGGGCTCGTGGGAACAAAATGTCATGGACTCTGTTGTGTGGAAGGGCCACATAAGGAAGTGAATAAGAATGAAGAAAGAAATGACTGCAGAAAGAATGAGTGCTGAGCATCTGAGAAGAAACAGACTAAACACAAATGTTGACAACAACCGTCCTGAAATTCAGTGCTTTAACTGGAAGACTTTTCTTAATGTGCCAGGTTCTGCTACTCACACTCACCAGCGCCATGGGCTATGAGTCTCATATCTCCTCAGAGCGCATATATCGCTCTGTCGTCTGGAAAGATGGAAATAGCGTTAAAAATCTACCCAAAGTATTTCAGGATCCTCATTGGTGCTACGGTGTTTGTGCAGTGCGCTGAGATTCTTCAGACTTAGGCTTGAGTTAGAAGTAGAATGGAGCACTTATGGGTTACTACCCTTATGATCCGCCAGCTAAATAGATTCTCAAAAAACAATCAAATAGTTTTCCAGTGGATCCGGTCTCACTGTGGCATACCAGAAAATGAGTTAGCAGACATGACTTGCAAAAAATGGAACAACAACACACCCATTCATTGTTATTACCATAAATCAAAACACTCATCAAGGAAAAATGCAAGGAATTGTAGAGAGAACAAACCCACAGTAAACACACAATTTTCAGTCTATGAACACTGGAGGTTTAACTACCACATGTATAAAATAAAGACTGTAAAATCTCAAAAGTGCCTGTCAGATAGGATCACAAACACCAAAGAACATTTTGCAGACCTGTCCACTCTACCTACAACTTTGAAAAGACACCTGGCCTCAAGAGCAAAGTGTGCAGAGCAAGCTATGGGAAACCATAAAGGACCTGCTGCTGACATGCAATTTTATAGAGGCAACCCACCTGATGGTCTGATCTGAGCATGCAAAACCCAACACAAAGAATATGATGCTTGCCTGTGGATCTAAAGGTCATGGGTTGAAATCTGAATGGAGCTAGACTTAAAATAAAATTACCATGGCTTCCAGGTTGACCAAAACTAGGATTGATACCAGGTAAAATCATGGGAAGTAAAGGTGGCTGGCATGATTTTACCTGCCAATCATTCACCGAATGCTGACTGGTCAATAAATTGTATATTTAGCCCTACATTTGCTTTTGTGAACTGAATAACACAGTTTTAAAATAAACCCACACCAGCTAATATAGTATTTTGTCTTGTCTAGGATGAAATTACAGAAATGAGACGTAAGCTTAAAATCATGACACATCAGATAGAACAGCTGAAGGAAGAGATACAAGCTAAGGAAGCTTCCTTAGTTAAAGCAGCTCTTGACTGTCAAAAGGTTGAGAAGGAGAAAGACTCCCTCAAGGTGAGCATATAAGCTAGTTTTATTTATTTAAAATAGTCCATTAATCATTTATACAGTATTTCTCTTGTTCAGCTTGTCACTTTATTTATTAAAAAAAAAAAAAAATTCACTCATAGTTATGGAGGAAACTCAGGGATCTGTGCAGAGAATTAATATAGATAATGGTTGACTGAATCATGAATAATGATGAAAGAGGCCAGAGATTCCATACAAGATACCAATATGATTTCACAGGATAGAATGGAATATATTGAATCAGATGCAAGCACTGCCAGGTATGCAGTGGCACAGAAGGATGATTATTATAATGTTTGCAAATAATGAAAATTAAAAAGGCAGCTTTTCAACCCTTAATGTAATTTAAACAAATCCATCACCCAAACCAGGTGACAGTGAAATGACAAAAGAAGAAGAAGCCGAACATGTAATTTAAACTTGTGTGCAAGAGTGGTAAATATACATACTTCTGCAATAATGGCAGTAGCAGGCCCCCCCCCCCCCCTTTCCCCTTTCTATAAGGTGTAGTCAAGAATAGGAAACATTACCTGTTTTTATTGTCTTTAAATCTTGTTGAAATTGCCTTATTTTATAATCTAAAATTGAAATTAAATTGCACCATCATTTTTAACAAAATCTTGGTGACTCTTTCATTCCATTGCGAGGGAAGAGATAAGAGAAATGTCGGACAACCACTGGTATCAACAGTTTGGCAGTGGCCAAAGCCAGTTTTACTTGTTTCATTATGTCTGCTTTAGCAACATGGTCATTACATGTCCGTTTTCTTTGTCCTTTTGCATTCCATGTTACTGTTTGTAATCATCACATGCCTTCCGTGTTATTAGAGCTGGCTGCGTGTATCCTACACTCTCTGTTCTGTGATTTTTATATTGATTTAACGGAGGCTTCTTCAAGTTCATCTGTTGTTGCTTGTCCTTCTTCTTCTTCTTCTTCTTCTTCTTCTTCTTCTTCTCCTTCTTCTTCTTCTTCTTCTTCTTCTTCTTCTTCTTCTTCTTCTTCTTCTTCTTCTTCTTCTTCTTCTTCTTCTTCTTCTTCTTCATCTTCTCCTTCTTCTTCTTCACGTTCATCAGCTGTAAATTCTGGTGGAAAGTTCTGTTTGTTTGTCCACTTCCAGGCATTAGTCTTCTTTCAGAACTTAACTTTTGCATGCACATTCATTTTATAGATCCAGCTTTTTGTGTGTACAGACTTTTGGTTCCTCACCTCTTCAGCAGATGCACTCTGACTTTGAAGGAAACACCCCCTACTAAGTTGACTTGTATGATATACTTCTTAGGAGATAGTTTGTATATTCTTGACCCCCCCCCCCCATACTCACACAGTAGTGCCCAGAAAGCCACACAGGAAATGTTGTCCTAATGCATGTAATTCTGTTCTCTGGCTATTATTCTGAGTAATTTTTAAAGGTACACTTCTTATCAATTGATGTCTGTAGGCTGAGCTTCAAACAATGAAGCAGCAGGCAGTGACCGACAAGGCTTATATTGAGGCTCAAGAGGCTGAGCAGAGAAAATTGATGAAGATAATTACTGAAGCAGATGCAGAGAGACTCCGACAGAAGAAGGAACTTGATCAGGTCTGCATTTCTTTTCATTAACTTGACCAGTTAAAGTTACATTGTGTAGATTTTTGCCATCCTTTTCTGTTTGAAAAAAAATTTGCTTTGTTTTAAAAAATGATGTTTATATGTAATTTGTAAACACCAACTGTGAATTTTTACTATTTTCATTAAATCTTTTGGCCTGGAAAGACTAAAAATGGTCGTTTGGATGTGGGAATTCCTAGAAGGATCCTTAAAAAAATAATACTAATTTTACACAGGTTACTAATGAATTAAAGAAAAAAAAAAAAATCTATAGCTAAAAAAAAAATTAATTAACTGGTCGCTTTGTTACCATTGTTTAGCCAAGCAAAGGTAAAAAATTACCGAATGTGAGTTGAATTAAGCTAAGTGCAATTTAACTGTCTCCATTCCTCTTTTAAGAGCAGTGAAATATACCTAAAATACACTTTTCTAACTCGGTGATCAGTGTGTCCAACTTTAGCATTTTTTGTGTAAGGTTTACTTTCTTTATATACAAAATGTTGTGTGTTCCCTAGACTGAATTATTTCCATGTAACAGATTTGCCAAGGCTGTGGCCTTACAGTCAGTTCCTGCTGCCATGAGATTTTAAAAATGCACTTTTTCTGCTCAGCACCTCCCCTATTTGAGAAGACATATATTTTCTCACTTTCTGAGAGTTGAGAGAGAAATGTGACCTGAAAAGACTGCAGGTTTTTATGTAAAAAAAATTTTTTTAAACCCTAATGACAGAAGCAAATTGTTTAGCCAAAGTGGGAAACTAAAACATCTCAGAAATATTAGGCACATTATTTTGAAACCTGCTCATCCCATATACCTTGTTATTGCATACGCTGAACATGGTCATGTGATTAGTACTGACAATAAATCAAGAATTGACATCATTGCACTCTGGACATTCTCTTACATGCTCCGTCTCCTTCTTCAGTAATCAACGAAGATTCGACATGCAGTACCAGCTGCAAACCGATTAAAAGTCAGCCTCTGTTTCCCCTTCAGTGTTGAATCTTCCAGAACTACTTCTTACCCATTCCTCCCCCCCCCCCCACCCTCCTTTTGTGTGTGTGTGTGTGTATTGAATTAGTCTTTCAGTGCATGGATTCCCTGTCTGTTCTTTTGCACTGTTCATTTGATTCCATAGAGCTTTCACTACATCTACTTTATTATATAGTAGCTCACTACCCAGAGGAGTGGCAGAGCGAATAAAAGAGCATTTGCTTGTCATTCCATGATGCATAGGTTCTGTTTCTGACCACTGAAAAATGACAGGGCTGTTCAAAATCCATCCAAAGAAGCTCAGAGAGTGGTGATTCATTTCTTTTATTTAAATGATGTTCACCAGTTGACATTCATTAAAAAAAACCCCACAGGAGCATACAATAAGAAACACGTATAGTAGACAACAGTGACAAACTGGGCAAGAATGTTCTGGAAATGATGTGAGTTCATGACAGATCTTCCATAGCCGGGTAAAGTGCATATTGTTGCAGCAGAAAAAAAAAACAGTTGCCAAAACTGATGCAGCACTGTTGAAGTTTATGTTCCCTAGTAAAAAAAATTGAAGTGTCAATTAGGACAGTTCAAAAAGGCTGTTCATAAAAAAAAATGCAGTGTCGGTCGAAAGGTGTGTTTAAGTTGGTGCCGCAAATGTTGACTGACCACCGAAAAGAGGAATTTATGGAAGAGTGTTTGAACCACTTGTTGCATTATAGTGTGGAGCATGATGCTTATCTCTTCCGCATAGTCACATGCGATGATTCATGAGGTCACCACTTAGAGCCCAGCATCAGAAGAGAGACCATGCACTAGAAGCAAGTTGGATCATCATCATCATCATCATTTCCACTTCTGCCATTCAACACCATGGAGAGGAACAGTTTGTGTTCCATTGCTTGATGGGCATCACTCGCTATAGCCATTACATTTCAATGTAGATACTCTTTAATGTCATCAATTCATATTTTCCTATGGCAGCCTCTTGATTTCTCATGAGATCTTTTCATGTGTAGCGCCTGCCTTGCTAGTTGTTCTGGCTGCATTCTTACTAGATGACCAAACCATTTGATCTTTTGTTATCAATAAATTTTCTGTATGGTGTTGTTTCCACAGACTGTCTGATAATATAATTTACAATTTTCCTCAAATGGTTAACTTGGCAGCTTTTCTCAGGCAGCTGGTCCATCAGCTTATGGGGTGTCCCGAGTGCTATGATGTTGATTCTTAATTCAACATAGCTGGTTCATCAAAAACCCCAAAATTCAAGTTACAGGTTTCTGATGGTAAGGTTATGCTGAGCAAATCATATTTTTTAACTTTAAAGGGCTATTGTTAAGTTTAGGGTTAGGGTTGAAAGAACCTGGTGTCAACATCAACTCTAACATCTACTTGGAAATATAAGACAGCTGAAATATAAGACAGCTGCATAAAATCATCAAGAATAAACAAGCCGGCATGCTTTCCCTTGTGTTATTTTGATGCACAATAATGTTTGTCCTCATGTTGCAAATACTTTGAAGGAAGCATTAACATGAAATATTTTTTGTTTGTTTCTGTTTTCTTTTTTTTGCTGAAGGCATACACCACCTACTTAAGCAATGTGATGCTTGTCTGAACGCCTACGGCAACTTTTTTTCTGACCAATCCATGGTGCATAATTAGTTTAGAATGAATGCTTTTTTTAATTCTGCCATACACGTTGTTTCTTTCATGCTTTTTGTAATAGCGCCATTGGAACAGTTTTCAAATAAATGCTCATATATATACATCCTCAGGTGGTTTAAACTAAACATTCTATACTCTTTCAGTGTGTTACAATTATTAGATAATCATTGTAAGATTTAACAATCAAAAGTTATTTTCAGGAATAAATATATAAAATTGAAACTGGAAAAAAAACACCTCAATACATCCCAATTATAATCTAGATGGATTCAATAGCATACAGTTTTTAAACTACTACTGTTTTTTTTAAAAGTAAACTTGATATATAGTTAAACTAAAATTCTATATCTTCAGTGTGTTACAATTATGGGATAACAAAAATCCATTGTAGATTTAAAATCAAAAGTTACTCTGCTGCTGCTACTATTACCACTAGTTTAGACAAAGTTTGTTGTAATATTATTTAATCTTTTTTTATCATCCTTTTAAAGGTAATCAGTGAAAGAGACATTCTTGGTACCCAACTAGTGAGACGAAATGATGAGCTTGCTCTCTTGTATGAGAAAATCAAAATTCAGCAGTCTGTATTAAACAAAGGAGAAATTCAGTACAACCAGCGACTGGAGGATATCCGGCTTCTGAAATTAGAGATTAAGAAATTGCGCCGAGAGAAAGCTGTTCTTCAGAAAAGTGTGGCAAATATTGAGGATCTTAGGTAAGAGTTCATTTCAAAATTTCTGAATAACTGAAAACATGGTATATAAAAATAAATAGCAGACATAACCATAAGTGTTTGAAGTGCTTCACCCCCTCTAGACCACATTATTGTTAACAAGAGACCCAATATCTTTTTCTATTTTTTCGCTTTGTAGAAAGATAATCCTGGTATCTATGGCTGCATCAAATTCAAAGCCGTGCAGATGAAAAATAATTTCATAATATGAGAGACATAGACCAAAGCAGTAAGATGACTGGAGACGTGGACATTTTCCCGTGCATGCTTTCTCAGTGACTCAGTGAGTATGCTCAGGAAGATAGAGAAGGGCTGGATCTGAAGACAGTGACAGTCGGAGATTACACATATCAGTTTCATATTTATGCCAGGTATGCAGGTGTACAAAGAAATGAGCAAGCTGATCGGTTAGCAGGTAAAGCTACTATGCAAGGTGGACGAGCTATGGACCATGCTGATATTCTGATGAATGCTGTATGAGAAGTAAGACGTTTGTGAGAACCATGTGATGACTGTAAAGCTGTAGCCATGACCAGACTGAAAGAACAACATGTTAGAAGGTGTGTGGCCATACAAGAGCACTGTGCAGGAAGCCTAAGAAGAATAAGAAATCAACACAGAACTGGTGTCGTGAGCCCCTACATGCTGCAGGATTTATTAAGGAAGGAATCAAAGCACTTATGGACTGAATGGTTTGATGTGAGGATAATTCAATCTATCAACTAACTAACTAACTTACTAACTAACTAGATAGATAGAGTCCAGATCGCTAACATGTTAGGCCAATAATACGCCACCTTTTACTTACTGTTATATTCTTAAACTTACTTATTATTATATTAGATGAATATTCTCATGTCTTTCTGAGCAGAGGCTCCATTGTTTTGGGAAAAAAGAATAGACCATGTGCACACCCCCCCCCCCTCCCTCCATCACCACCTCACCCCAAACAAGCATGTCATTAAAGCTGACTAATTAAAGATGTTTCCTTTGAAGTCAAGGTGCATCTGCCTAAGAGGTGAGGAACCAACAGTCTACATACAAAAAAACCAGGTCTGCAAAATTAATGTGTATGTGAAGCTCAAGTTCTGTAATGAGACCAAGGTCCAGAAGTGGACAAACAACCAGAACTTTCCACTTGAGTTTACATCCAGTGAACACTAAGAAGAAAAAAGAAGAAAAAAATGCAAATTGTTTCTGATGCGGGCTCGAACCCATGACATTCATGCCGGCACATGAGCATTTGGCAACTAAACCACTGCAGTTCCCATTGTATTAGATGAAACCAATTACTTACCTAATAAATTTACTTGTGTATCAGGTCCACTCCTACAAATTAAATGTGCCATACGGTTAAGGCTAACTCATCCAGAAGAGTGTCAGAATAAATTGTGTTAATACATTCATTGCATTTCTGTTTAGACATGAAGTCTATCATATTCAAAGAGAGTTGCTTAGGGAAAGGACCAGATGTAAGGCTTTGGAAGAAGAACTGGAGAATCCAATGAATATCCACCGCTGGAGAAAGCTGGAGGCAAGTTAACTTGGTTTAAGCCAATTTGGAATTCAATTGCACTTTTTAGATTACCATAGTTATGCTTTATTATGCTAATATCAGGAATATAATCAATACTTCTGAGTGGTTAGGATAAAGGTTAGTAATAAACAACATTTCTTCATCCTCATCATTGTCATCACCAATTTCCATATTTTCTGTTAAGTATCATGGAAAGAAACAGTTTAGGATTCTTTGCTCAAAGGGTATCACAGGCACCTGGCATACTGTGTTGATGTAGAATGTATTTAATGTTATCAGTTTATTTTATCGTACAGTTTTCACCTCAGATCCTTTAGCTCCTGTGTTGGTAGTTGTTGTGGCTGCACTCTAACGAGAGGGGAGAACCATTAAATTATCTGCTTCTCAATAAATATGGTGCAATAACTTGCACCCACAATCTTTCGGACAGTATCATTTCTCACATGGGCTCAGTTGGTTAAGTTCACAGTTTTTCTCAAGCATCTTATCTCACAGGTGGTAATTTTATGTAGGATCTTTGATAATGTCCATGGTAACACATGTATTATTTTTATGAAAATATCATCATTCATCATTGGAAAGCAAAATACTCTGTACTGCTTCATCATACCGGTGTTGAAATCCAGGTACAGCAAGCATAGCTTTTGGGGTTAGCTATCCATATTCTTTAACTGTCTGAAATCTGCTTGCAAGGCTGCTTGCAAGGCAGCAGGTTTTCTGTGTTACATTTCTTTGGTCTGTCTTCTGTGACCAGTAGTGACACTGCCATCTGCATACTGCTCTTGGACATAAGTTTACCTTTTTGGGATGGAGACGCAGAAGAGGATTGAGATGTTAACCATATAACCTTATAGGGCTTAACAAAAAACATAATTTGTTTGCAGTATTTTAATGCCAAGTGGTTTGCACAAGAAATAGCAACTGTCACTAGTTCAGATCTGTTGCTATATTATCGATTCAGTGTTAATCACCGGTCCATTTGGAATGTGAGTTACCAGCCAGAATATAGCCACTCTTGGGCCGTCTTCACAGTTGAGTTTGGTTGCAACTGATCTCCATCTTGCTTTTTCTCTTGTCCTCATAACTCAAAATGGCACACAGAAGAAAGTAACGGGAGACAGACGAAAGAAAATAATGGAGAGATAATGTACAGGAAGACCTAAAAACACAATCACCAGATGGAGAGAGAAGGCCAGTGACAGATGCATTGAGGTGGGTGATATCTGCAGCAGTGAGCTTCAAGGGCTCAGAATGCTCGAGAAGAAGAAGAAGAAAAAGAAGAAGAAGAAGAAGATAAAGGGATTTAGATTTCTGAATTATTAAAATAATCTGCTAGACTTGGGACCATGGTTCACTTGACTAACAACACAGTGGTTAGAATCCATTTCCCAAGAAAGGCAAGATAATTTATGTGTGTCGACCTAGCTTAACATAAATGGGTACCATACTTGTTTCACCTGTCTTAACTGCCTATAATGACCACTTCTTAGTTTGGTGTAAGGTTGCAAGGTTAGAGTAGTCACCAGGTACTGTGCAGATTAGGATTCTATTTTTGCATCCAACAGAAAAAAAAAAAGTTTTTACATTACTGGGAATTCACACCCAGGTCTCTTGAGTAAGAACTTTCTGAAAATTGTTTCGAAGTAAAGTTAATATAATTAATGTTACGGTCTGTAATATCATCACCATCATCATCATCATGTGCCCTGCCAACTGGTGTAGGCACTCATGGGTCTCCACAGATCACGATCCCTGGTTGCCTGGAACAGCTCTCTTGATGATATCCCTCCATGCCATCATTTCAGCCCATCCAGCATCATCTCTCTTCGTCTGCCTCTACCCCTTTTTCCACTGATCTTTCCAGTTGTCACGATGTTCTCCAATGTCTCTCTTCTCATTATGTGGCCAAAAAACAGTGTTTGTCTCTTTCTTATTGTCTCTTTCTTATTGTCTATTTTAATTAGCTTCTTTTAAACAATCATTGTAAGTTACTCTGGCTGTCAAAGGTATTCGTAACATTTGTCTCAGAAACCACATCTCTGTTGCTTCCAAATTCTTCTTAATTTGTTCACTAACATTCCAAGATTTGCTGCAGAACAGGTTCTATGTAACATTTTAGCAACCTCTTTTTGGTATGGGTCTGTAATATGTGAAGATTTGATACTTCAAACCGTTTAGCAGTTTCTGTTGTGGAATTAACTATACCTTTTATAATCATATGGTTGCACACATTTTTATCTCTAGGGAAGTGATCCTTCTACATATGAAATGATACAGAAGATTCAAACCCTCCAGAAGAGGCTGATAAAAAAAACTGAGGAAGTTGTGGAGAAGGAGCTACTCATTCAGGAAAAGGAAAAACTGTACCTGGAACTAAAGCACATCCTGGCACGCCAACCAGGTCCTGAAGTTGCAGAACAACTAACTATTTACCAGCAAACATTGAAGGAAAAAGTGAAACAAATGAAGGTATTCATATAAAACAAATTTAATTTTTATAAAATGATTAATTTAAGAGGGTTAACAGTTAAATCAAAATTATGTAATGTTAGAAATAGCTGATACATCAGCTGGTCAAGAAAAACAATGAGTTTTTTTGGAAAAACTTGAATACTACATCACTCACCCATTTATTATTTATTACAGTTAGCACCTGAAAAAAACAGTACGATTCACATGAAGGTCACTTCTAATGAAACTATGAAATATCTAAACATTTCTTTAAAACAGTGATCTAATTAGAAGTAGATAAGTATTTGATTTCTTAACATATAATAAAGTGTATAAGCATGAATATGTGTTGATAAACCATTGATGTTTTGAGGTTTTGAACAACGGATCAACATCATGGCATATGGGTAGTAACCCATAAGTGCTCCGTTCTTCTTCTAACTCAAGTCTGAGTCCGAAGAAGCTCAGCACAGTGCACAGGCTAGGTAGCACCTGCGAGGATCCTGAAATACTTTGGGTAGATTTTTAAGTCAAAATTTTGCCTGGGCAGCACCGTTAGGCTACAGCGGTAAAAGAGGAAGTGAAGAAGAAGAAGAAGCGCCGTTAGGCTACTCTTTTCAATTTCCAACTGCCGAGGGATTTTTTACATGCGCAACAATGCACACTTGCTTCAGATCTCACTATCCAGAGACCAGGGGGAATTACTAGAAGTCTAAGTCTATGTGAGAAAAATCCCAGCCCTAACCGGGAATTGAACTCGAAACCTCTAGCACTCAAGGCGGACAACATACCTCGAGACCACGCAACCCCCTTGTTGATGTTTTATAAATTAGGAATGGGCATTTTAGTGGCTATTTATTGTCCATGTGCTAAGTTAACATTGCTGTTTGAAAAGGTCAACATGATAACCTGATATGCGTATCCTAGATTAGAAAGCCTGTATGGCATGGACTAGATTAGTTTTGCTATCTAGCATAGGTTAGATTAGAGTGGCTATCTAGCCTTAGTTATATAAGAATGACTATGTAGCACAGGTTAGGTTAGATTGGCTATCTATTATGGGTTAGGTTAGAATAGCTGTCTGGTATGAGTTAGGTTATAATAGCTATCTGGTGTGGGTTATGTTAAAATAGCTGTCTGGTATGAGTTGGGTTAGAATAGCTGACTGGTGTGGGTTAGGTTTGAATAGCTGTCTGGTATGCATTAGGTTAGAATAGCTATCTTGTATGGGTTAGGCTAGAATAACTATCTGGTATGGGTTAGGTTAGAATAACTATCTGGTATGGGTTAAATTAGAATAGCTATCTGGTATGGATTAAGTTTGAATAGCTATTTGGTATGGGTTAAGTTCAAATAGTTATCAAGTATGGGTTAGGTTAGAATAACTATCTGGTATGGATTAGGTTAGAATAACTATCTGGTATGGGTTAAATTAGAATGGCCTATCTGCTATACTTTGCATGACTATTTTTTACAGGCCAGGCAATGAATGTTTAGCTAGCACAGGCTAAGTTAAAGTGACTGTCTAGCATAAGTTAGCTTATACCGACTATGACACAGTTTATGACACAATGGTAATATATATGATAATGGGTCAGGTTAGAATAGCTGTCTCATAAGGGTTAGGTTATAATGGCTGTCTGGTATGGATTAGGCTACAATAGCTATCTAGTGTTGGTTAGGTTAGAACAGCTGGAACTTATTACAAACTCGCTGCATGATGACACATGTATGTGTTTTGTATTTGTTGATATAGTGTGTGTTCATATGTGTGTGTGTGTGTGTATGCATGCATATATATATATATATATATATATATATATATATATATATATATATATATATATATATATATATATATATATATATATATATATATATATATATATATATATATATATATATATATATATATATATGTGCATATGTGTGTGTGCTCCCCCTCCACAACCCTACTACACACACACACACATGCATGCACGCACACGATATGTATACAATTCAGGATCAACGTAAACATTAAGGTACAATCACAATCAAAACATGAGTATTTTAGTATCGAAAACTGTATTTAAATTGAATGTTCTGTAATTAGTCAGTAATTATGCATACAAAAGGTTTTCTGCAATTTTTCAGGCTATGGCCTCAGAACTAAATATGTATGAGTCTCAAGTGTCAGAATACAAATATGAGATTGAGAGAATTGCTAGAGAGTTGCAGGAAGTAAAAAAGAAGTACTTTATGCAAAAGAAGAAGGAACAGCAAGCAAAGTGAGTTGTGCATCATCACTATTAATGTTTATATATCTGACTTAGTTTGTTGAAATTAAATTTTAATTATTGTACATGTAAATATATTTACTGTATTTCTCCTTCTAGTTTTTTTAAATTCTGTTTTGTGGTTGACAGCCAGGCTGTATTATCTGTGCCATTTGGTGGTGAAACACATTTTGTTTCAGCAAACTTGTAATTAGTCATCTTTTAAGAACAGTTTAGGGGGGGGGGGGAGGGGGGGGGGAAGGGAGGGCTGGGGTGGCAGTTGTCTCTTCTCTCTGCCCATCCTTTTCCTTTTTCCCAGAATAGGGTCACAGAACTTCAGATATCTTCAGTATTTGACTTAGTCATACAGTAAAACTTTGATTAACTGTCACCACCCAGACCAGGGCTGTGACGGATAACCGAATGGACAGATAACAGAAATCTCTTAATACATGAGTACAGTAACATGATTTTACTGCGGGATTAGAGGAAAGTGAAAATAAAATCTATTAAAAGGGAATAATACATACATTTTGTATTTAATTTGACAAATTATCGATATAAATTTCAGTATAAGAGTAGTAATTTACAGAAATATATTGTAACACTATAAACCTATATCACTTTAAAATAAACTGTTATCTCCTTCCCTGTCTTTGAGGCTCAAGCTTTCTGCATGGCGATGTTCCATATCTTAACACAGAACTAGGATCTGTATTGCATTTGCCTCTTGCATTTCAAACTAGTCGATGCACTTTGATAGCATTGTTTCTGCATCTGAGTGGCTAGTAGTAGGCTTTTGTGTTTTTTTGTTGTTGTTAGATGATAACAGATAACAAAAACTGACAGCTAAACAAATGATGGTTAATCAAAGTTTTACTATTAATTTGTTTGAATCTTCCAGACTTACTCCTGTATGCAAATTCAGTTGCTAAACTCAATATTTTATTACATTAAAACTAGCAATGGTGGGATGTTGACCGCATCATTCATTAGGTGTTGACTGGTCTGTAAAAAATATGATATCTCCATATGTTTATTGCACCAGTGGTGTGAAAAGGGTCTTCTGTTTAATTTTACTCATAGCCATACCATTGTAACTAACTCAAGAGCATGCTGAGAAAGGTGGAGACTGGTATGCTCCGTGAAGAGTGGCAAGCATCTCTTCAGAGGTCTCGGGTAGTTTGCATTCTTGGAATATTTTCTCCAAGGAATGCTGGTGTATTAAGAAATGAGCAGGAAGAATGATTGGCTGGTTCTGCACAACTTGATGGTGAACTGATGCATGATGAACAACTGATGCATGATGAACAACTGATGCATGATGAACAACTGATGCATGATGAACAACTGATGCATGATGAACAACTGATGCATGATGAACAACTGATGCATGATGAACAACTGATGCATGATGAACAACTGATGCATGATGAACAACTGATGTATGATGAACAACTGATGCATGATGAACAACTGATGCATGATGAACAACTGATGCATGATGAACAACTGATGCATGATGAACAACTGATGCATGATGAACAACTGATGCATGATGAACAACTGATGCATGATGAACAACTGATGCATGATGAACAACTGATGCATGATGAACAACTGATGCATGATGAACAACTGATGCATGATGAACAACTGATGCATGATGAACAACTGATGCATGATGAACAACTGATGCATGATGAACAACTGATGCATGATGAACAACTGATGCATGATGAACAACTGATGCATGATGAACAACTGATGCATGATGAACAACTGATGCATGATGAACAACTGATGCATGATGAACAACTGATGCATGATGAACAACTGATGCATGATGAACAACTGATGCATGATGAACAACTGATGCATGATGAACAACTGATGCATGACAAGCTGGATGTTGTAAGGGGTTGAGTGAACAGATGGATCATCTTGGTCTGAAGGGAATTGTGCTGTGAGGAGTGACCAGGGGATCTGGGTGAGGAGTGACCAGGGGATCTGGGTGAGGAGTGACCAGGGGATCTGGGTGAGGAATGACCAGGGGATCTGGGTGAGGAGTGACCAGGGGATCTGGGTGAGGAGTGACCAGGGGAGCTGAGTGAGGAGTGACCAGGGGAGCTGGGTGAGGAGTGACCAGGGGAGCTGGGTGAGGAGTGACCAGGGGAGCTGGGTGAGGAGTGACCAGGGGATCTGGGTGAGGAGTGACCAGGGGATCTGGGTGAGGAGTGACCAGGGGAGCTGGGTGAGGAGTGACCAGGGGAGCTGGGTGAGGAGTGACCAGGGGGATCTGGGTGAGGAGTGACCAGGGGATCTGGGTGAGGAGTGACCAGGGGAGCTGGGTGAGGAGTGACCAGGGGAGCTGGGTGAGGAGTGACCAGGGGAGCTGGGTGAGGAGTGACCAGGGGATCTGGGTGAGGAGTGACCAAGGAATCTAGATGAGGGGTGACCAGGGAATCTGTGTGAGGAGTGACCAGGGAATCTGGGTGAGAAGTGACCAGGGAATCTGGGTGAGGAGTGACCAGGGGATCTGGGTGAGGAGTGACCAGGGGATCAGGCTCACAATCAACACTTTGGAGAAAGGTGCGATCGATATACAGTCAAACTGCTACTGATGCCATCAGAATTGGAACTGTGCACTTGCTGCTGAAGATGAGCGCAGAGCACTTATGAGTGCTGTCATGTCAATTCTTGATTAAAAATTAAACATTAAACATAACTAGCCATGTCTAGTTTAATTTTGTTTAACTGATTGAAATACACTGTGTAGTGGACTTTATTATTTTTGTGTCTATAGAAACATCAATCTGAAACTTTAAGCAATATAAATAAGAGTCATTTCAGAAAATGAAAACTTGCCCCTGATTAGTTTTTATGATCTCAACGAGCTTTTACACAGGAAAAGACATTGAAAACAAAACAGCAATAAAGCTGGTGATGGACAAAACTGAAGACTTTATTTACAGTGGAAAAATATTTTGTTGCGGGCATTGTGGAGCACATTCTAAAACTAGAAGCTGTAATTAAAAAGAAAACAACTTTTTAAAAAACCCACAGTGAAATGCTTGATTATGATCTTCATTATGATAATTTAGCAACACCACTAAAGACATATAATAGAACACAACTATAAATGTCACAATGACTTTAAAACACACATATATACTTACATTTTCCCTATGTGGGATGCAGTTTTTAGTTATTTTGAAGCCCCACCCTGGCTTTTGCCGTAGGCCCTAAATATAGCCGGGCCTAAAATATAGCCTAACAGCTGAACAGGGTTTCTGGAACCTTTCCATGGGTGATCCTCATCCATATGGTGACACTTTGTGTCACCGGGTGTTTATCGCTTGTGTGGTGTCCTGGTGGGGTACAACTTCCCTACCTGCCTAGCTATAAAACACGGATGCACGCATGCATGCACACACATACACCCATCAGCAGCAGCAGCGTATCTGTCATTATGTGGCTTGCTGAATGGGATGAGCAATAATTCCTCTTTAACAGCATGTATCCTATGATGAACTGACACTCTTCCATGCTATGACGAAAAGGCTGTCAAGAGTCTTCTCTGGATGTCTTTCATTGTCTCTCTTTCCATTAATCTGTCCAGGTGTCACCTATTCAAGTTTTTGTCTGCTTATAATGTGGTCAAAGAATAATGACAGCCTGATATTTATTTGGACAAAATGCCACATGTAAGAGTTTGTTATTCCTAGTATCACAGAACCAGCAACATCACATAATTTATGATTGCTAGACATCACATATTAGTCAGGCTTTAGTCACAGTGCTATGCTTAGATTTATTTAAAAGAACAGATATGAATGAACAACCATTGAAACCATTGCTGTTACCAAATGTGAGCATAATTTCATTATAACTAACAGTTCAATGTAAACAAAGCCACAATAACGAGATGAGCCATTTTGGCAATGCAAGGCATTTTCAGCATTCTTTTTGTAGAGCCAAATCTCTAATGCCTAACGGGGAATTTTCTTACGTGTTGGGGATTTACAGCCGTATGTTATTAAAACTGGTTATTTGTAATGTTTAACACATTACATTTCATAACTACCAGTGACAGGAATTTGTTGTTAAAAAATGCACTTTTTAAAATTTCTCTATGTTCAGTTTGTGTGTGCGTTTGTCTCTCTCTGTCTCTCTCTCTCTCTCTCTCTCTCTCTCTCTCTCTCTCTCTCTCTCTCTCTCTCTCTCTCTCTCTATATATATATATATATATATATATATATATATATATATATATATATATATATATATCTCACACTCTCTTTCAAACATTCACTCACATGCAAGCATGAACACATGAACACATGCAATCTGTAGTACATAATGAAAGGGTTAAACTATGGCTGCAAAGGACAATTTAATTATTGTTTCAGGGAGCGTGAGAAAATGTTGGGGCAGACAGGAATACAACAGATCATGTCACAGAGAACAGATGCGGCACGATTCACTGGTGGAGGTTTCAACCTAAAATCAGTCAAGACAGCAGCATAACTGAATGTAATAATAGAGAACAAGTTATATTTGTCTTTTCTTTTGTTTTGTGATGGAAGTTTTACTGTTATTTCCATACCTCTATTAACATTATACCAGGAGCAGCTGTAATGTAGTCGGTTATACAGAGCGAATTTACAGAACAATCTAAATATAGACTACATTTCATTAATGGGTGGTAGGGACATTGTATTGTGGTTTACTGATAGGCTGCGATATCTTTCAGCCCAACACATCTGGTTTCCATAACATTCTTCATTAGTCAACATTTCATGACAGGATTGTTGTGGCGCTGCTTTATAATTCTGAGGTATCCAGTTTGATTCCAGCTGCCTGCAATTTGTCAACAGACCGCCTTGTGTTGATTTCAGCAGGGTTATCAAGAGCTAGCTGATCGTTCAGAAGGCATTGGCAAACAACTGAATGTGAAATTGTTTAGTAAAATCAAAACAGCCAACAGATGCTAGAGTTGGTTCTGCAACATCCAGTAAAGGGCATGCAACAAACTGTTGAGGGACAGAGGGTCTTTTAATAATTTTTATTCCCACCAAATTTAGGGCCTAAGAACCAACACAGGATAGAATGAATTGTAACTCTTATGAGTGATGCACTGGTGGTTGGATCATTTCAACCATGAAATGTCTTGCTAATATCAGAGGCTGGTTTAGAGACTTTCTTGTCTGTATTATACTGAAGTAGCATCTCCATGGGAATTGTATTGCAGAGCTCTTAATTCCCTCTGTAAGCTCAGCAAACAGCAGGGTGTTCCAAGACCAGTTCTGGACTTCACACATGCAGAGAGGCATATTAGTATGTATCCAGGTCATGATTCAGCACAACACATACAGATTGTAGGCATAAACGAGCATTCTTGACTTCAAGAAGTATGAATCTGGAGGTGATGGCAGTCACAAAAGTAATGACGTGGTTAGAGACACAGAACTGTTCCCATGTGGGCTTTCCAAATGATTCCATAAGCATGCGTAAGGAGATCGAGACAGGGTGGGTTTGAAGACGGTGGTTGGAGTCTCTGATAAAATCTCATCTGACATGAATAAGTTTCATTTTTATGCTAGGGCACTGGGATAAGAGGCAGTGATCAATAGGACTGGCTTGCTGGGAGGGGCATGGTAGGTACAGGACAAGCCGTGGCCTGGGTGGATGTTATCAGTGCTCTCAAGGAGGCAGGATGAGTAGATTATTTAGGAGATAGCGGTGAATCAGCAACATTAAAAAGTCTACAAGAATTTCCAGTCAAAAGAGATAATGCCACATATAAAAACAATACAGTGAGCCAACGAGGAATGGTAAATTAGACCAAAACCAAATTGGTGTTAACAGTACCACATGCTGAGGGATATGCTGAAGATGGATCTGAGCACTAAAACTAGAAGCCCTAGAAATTTTATTTCTCTAAAGCGTGCTCAGCATTTCATAGACTACAGAAAAGACAATCTTCAAGTACTACAATGGGGCCAGCTGACAGACATCTAATAATTTAATCATGACTAATAAGGTCTGTAATCAGATGTGAACAAGACAAACAAAAATTGCAGTAAATGGTTGGTCAAAAATACAAAAATAAATATTTATATTTAAAATTAACACCATCTCATCACCATTAAAATCAAAAGACTACTGATATTTGAAATTTGAACATAAATGTAAGTTCATTTTTTAATTTTCACTTCATTTTCCTGGTATGCTTTATTTTTAATGTCAGATTAAAAAAAAACTAAAATGTTTTCAATGGCAGGGTCTTGGAGCTGTTTAGCACATATTAAATATAATTTTGCGTTGTTCTGTTTTGTAATAAATATATGCAGTGATATCCTTTCAATTCATAGCTTTCACATATAAGTGTTGTTTTCAACATGCATCTGATGAAATAAAAGTGTGACATATTTCATGCTTGCCCTTTTTATCATGAACACTATTTATTTTTTTGAAATCATATTATAGATTTAATTTGTTCTTGAGAAAATAGTTATCAATTGTTCTCATTTTTTAAACTCATTTAGGTTCCAGGTAACTGACCATGCATTTGTTGGTTTCTACTGTTGTGGTTTTCTTTTCTTAACATTTAGTGTGTGTCTTATCAAGTTCTTAAACTAACCAACTATACTCTAACTGTTACTTTAACTCCTGTGGTGTCATGATGTTATTATTTTACCTCCTTCAAGCTTGTGCTAAAAACTTGTCCCATGTCATCAAGACCATATTTAGAATGGATGATGTCCCTGTATAGTCATTTTTTTTTTACCTCCCCCCCCTTTCCCCCCACCCTTCCTCTCTCTTCTCAGTATTAGTAATAGTGCCATATTATTTTAATGCCAGAACATACTGTCATATATCCAGGTATTTATCTCTACCTTTCTCGTGCCCTTTTTCCATTAAACTTGCCACATGTAAGAGCTCATTATTCCTAATTTACGATTGCTAGACATCACATATTAGTCAGACTTTATTCATTGTGCTATGCTTAGATGTATTTACAAGAACAGACTATGAGTGAACAACAATTAAAGCCATTGCTGTTACTAAATGTGAGCATACTTTCATAATGACTGACATTTCAATGTAAACAAAGTCACAATATTTGAATTTAGTTCAACATAAACAGTAAACACATTTTAACTTAAGGATTAAGTTTTACATTATCAGTAAACAGGATCTTTCAAAGCATGTCTCAATCACAAAAATAACACTAATAACCAACACTTCCGATTGTGGCCAATTTCCAACAAATTTCACTTTTCTAACTTGTCTGTGGTGAACTTTTTCCGAGACGTATAGTTAATGCTATTGACTGTGTTCACACCAGCACAAGCATTTATGAAGTCAGGATGTGAATATATTAACTAAAAAAATAGCATAAGCACAAGAAATCAAACGACCTCAGCTCAATGATGAAAAATTCTGTACTGTACCTTATTCTGGCAGAAAATGGTATTAAGCAAGACTAGCATCACAGATACTCAATTTTTCTGACTGTCACAAATTGTTGCCAGATGTGATGTTCACAAAATATGGAAGTGAAAGGCAAGGAGAAGCTAACATATTGTCTCTCTAAAAATATATTTATAAACATTTCTGAATCAAGAATGGAAGAGTGACTTGTTCTGAAACTCGATATATAATTTGGGATTATGTTATGAAATATTTTGACACCTGTCTGTTTTTTTGTTTGCTTTGAGAATCCTTTGTGTCAGTAATGTAATGTTAGCCTTTTGAAGTTGCCTCAGTACAGTATTTAACAAGCTTATCTTTTGACCAAGTGATTATTCTTTTGAACCTTGGACACTCAACACACAAATTGGTCTGTGTTGAGGGGTAGACAAAGTGCGTAGCAAAACCGAATGGACGTCACTTAGTGCAACAAAGCCTCATATATGATATCATGTCTAATTTGAGAATTGAGGTGGGGGCAGTCACTTCTGCCTTTCGTTGGCTTAAGAATCAGCTATACACACATGCCTTGATTGTAACTGACTCACAGAGCATGTTAAGAAAGGTGGAGACAGGCATGCATGTGCAGAGTGGCAAGCATCACTTCAGAGGTATCGGCTAGTTAGTATTCAGTGGATATTTTCTCCAGGTCATGAGGTGTGTTGGAAAATGAGCACTCAGAAAGACTGGCCAGCTCTGCACCACTTGGTGTTGATCTGATGTATGACAAGCTAGAAATTGTGAAGGTACTTTGAGAGCAAGTGAACAGTGTGGAGACACAAACAGATCATTACGGTCTGAGGAGAATGGCGCTGCGAGGAGTTACCAGGGAATCTGGCCGATGCTGAACAACTCAGGGGAATGAGCGAGTTGGATATACAATCAGACAGTTACTGGTGCCATCAGAATTTAAAGTCTTTGCTTGCTGCTGAAGATAAGGATGGAGTGCTTATGGGAGTATTCCAAGTGCTGTGATGTCAGTTCTTAATTCAACAACAACACAGAGAGGAATTGCAAGAGAGACATACAATCAGACTGCAAATGTTAACATAAGAATTGGAACTCTGCACAGGCTGCTGAAATTCAGTATGGTACACTTATGAGAATGTCCCTAATCTTATCGTCCTGTCGTTCACTAAATTAATGCTTTTGAATCCCGCTTAAGACTATGTTTTTGTTTTTTGAAATAAATTAAACAGGAATAAAATGGCCGACTCACTCAAACTTCATCCGGTAATGTTTTGGTATGTAAAGATTGCTGATGTGATATTGACCACATCACCTATTGGGTGCTGATTGTTCTAAAAATATGACATTTGTCAAATAGTAAAGATATAGAAAAGGGTCTTTGTCATGTTAGCCTTTCTTTATACTAATCTTGAGTTTGCTAAACATGATAACCATGAAGTATGGATGTGGAGTTAAAATTACAGCAACACAATGGCCAAATGCTAACATGCTGGTCCAAAAGTCTTTGATTCATGTCATCAGTGGGCACATTTGGACCTAAAAAAATACTTTGGCTTTCAGGTCGACCCAGTCTTAAAATGGGAACCAATGAATATCGTGCACAGTAAAAATGATCAGTGTAACGTTATTCACAAATCTTGTTACATTCTGATTGGTATATACCAGATTAGCCAGCCTTTTGGGCTTTTAGGGCTATTTTTCATTTCAGAAATTACTGGTGGTCTACTGTATAGTCTAGAACGATAAAGGGAGACAGGCAACAATTACAATTTTTAATAGTCTGACAGAGAACACTGCAGGCTATCTCTTACGGCTTGCCTTTGGAGTGGGCCGCTGTGGACATGTTGGTCACCTCTGGTCTATTCAAATATGAGTCTAACATCATATAACTAGTGTGTCACTATCATGAAATTGGTCCTTTACTTTTTTATGCTTTTGTTTTAGTGTGTTAACCGTTGTGATAAATTAGTGTCTTTGAATATCTCTTATATTTTGTTTAGGTTGCAGAAATTGAGTATCTGTTGCTCAGAAAGGTAACTGAAGGGGATGGAGACTCACGGATTTGTCTTTTGCTGTCCTGGGCTGAATAATTACCAATGGCAGGCAAAGACATTCGTTTCAGGGCCACCGAAACAGACGTGGTCCGTAAAGAGCCAGTGTAACCAACTGTTGATCCGGCTCTACTGATTCGACCTTGCAGTAAAAGAGTGAATGCTTTCTTAAAATTAGAGGAGAGCAGTGAATAAATAATGGGATTTCCCGCAGAATTAATATACATGAGCATCCGCCCAATCCACAACAGGTTGTAGTAGGTTTCAATTCCAAGTTTTATTTTCTCTTCTGGGGGGCTGTATATCTGCCAAATAATAGTGATTCGTATAGGAGCTAATGCGACGAAAAATAAAATAATAATAGCCAGAAGCATGCGAATAACCTGCCGACGGGACCTCATACTGCCCCCTGAGGACTCAGTCTCTCCACGGACATGGCTGCTGGGATCTGTATGATAGTACATTTGTTTAATTATGTTCCCATACATAACCATTAGCATTAACATCGGCAACAGAAAGAAGACGCCGAAGATGAATCCGATATACACATAATGCCACAACTGGTTGATGACTGTGCTGCAGACCTGACACGGTGTGTTGTCGTAAAATATCTGATCTTGCAGCTGTGTCATGACCAGGAAAGGAAGTGCTGTCGCAGTTGCTAAACTCCAGAGCACAAGCATGATCAGAAATGGACGCGGTCTGCTGCAGAGAAGAAACGACTTGAGTGGCCGACAAATTGCATGATAGCGCTCACATGAAATGACTAGAATAGTTAGAGTTGAGGCGTGCAGCACTGCATGTTCCAGCACGGGGACCATCTTGCCTGTATAGGAGAGAAATAAAAAAGCAACACATTTAACACTGTGGCGTATGCGTTGCAAACGCAAAACTCCAATGTGCATAGTTTCATCCCAGTTGCGGCTGATTTGGCAGAAGACCGACTTTCTTTAATTTCGATAGTCGTTTCGATAGCCGACTTAACTGAGCAATGGTAAACTATGCTATGTTCAAAAAGTCGTGCCGGACTTAAAAAATATGCAACTCTGTAACCGTTCCGTGTAAACTGTTAAAATGTGGCATGCAAACTATTATTAATCATGTCATTGTAGTAAAAGAGTTATCATGTAAATGAACATATAGTTCTTTTTTTTTTAACCTCAGTTGTGGTATATAAAGATTACAATTAGCATGTTTACAGTACATGGCGCACAAGGAGTGCATGAGTTATCAGTCTGCACTTTTCTACGTCTTGAGGTGTACAGGGCGTGTACATCTAGACCCATATTTTATAGATCTATCGCTACTTTGTGGGTGATGTGATCACCATCACAACGGTCGCCTTTACTTTCCTGGATTGTACCTGGTACCCATTTACAGCTGAGCCGACCTGGAAGCCAAGGTCATATTTGAAAAAGTTTGGGTCCGTCAGGCTGTGAATTCAAGACCTTCCGATTCGCCGGTGAACATCTAGCCGCTACACCACGGCAGTTTCTATTAGTCCGACTAAGGTAAAGAAATTTGCCGCTGTAGAAAAAAGGCTGCAGCTGTGCAGTTGTAAATTATCAAATCATAACGACATGGGAAATTATAGACTACTTGCAACAATTGGTGTTGATCCGTAAAGGAGGAACAGACTACGTATGTTAGCACTGGACTAAGTAATCGCAGAAGGAAAAAAACGGAGCTGGCGAATTGAAATATTTAAGAAAATGCTGTGGCAGAAGAAGAAGAAGAAGAAGAAGAAGAAGAAGAAGAAGAAGAAGAAGAAGAAGAAGAAGAAGAAGAAGAAGAAGAAGAAGAAGAAGAAGAAGAAGAAGAAGAAGAAGAAGAAGAAGAAGAAGAAGAAGAAGAAGAAGAAGAAGAAGAAGAAGAAGAAGAAGAAGGGAGATGAAGAAAAAGAAGATGAAGATGAAAAAGAAGAAGAAGATGAAGAAGAAAAGGAAGATGAAGAAGGAAGTGGACGAGGAGGAAGAGGAAGAGGCTCAAGAGAAAGAGGAATAATACTAATAATAATCATATCCCGAATAGCGAGGTATGTAATTTACGTTAAACTTTATGGTTAAAAAAGAAACGGCGATGGAGGGCACAGTTTCCGGAAAACGAGGCAGAGAGCGGCCTTTATACGGGACACTGCAGATCTACTGGTTTTGAAAGGACTGTACATAAAACTGAAGAGTTGCTAGAGAAAGAGAGAATTTCCGGCCTGGGCCGGAATCAGCTGCAAAGAATTTGCTGATTGATAGATAACAAGGGATGTGGATTTGGCACTTGTGATATTGAGGGAGAGAGAGAGAGAGAGAGAGAGAGAGAGAGAGAGAGAGAGAGAGAGAGAGAGAGAGAGAGAGAGAGAGAGAGAGAGAGAGAGAGAGCTTGAGAGACAACGAGAGGAAGAGAGAGAGAGGGGAGAGAGAGAGAGAGAGAGAGAGAGAGAGAGAGAGAGAGAGAGAGAGAGTGTGTGTTAATCACAGTTCTTGAGTAACTTCAGTCAAGTGTCATGGCGTGTCAAGTAGTTATGTTGTTAGGGAGACAGTAGTCATTGGCCAAGTACCGAATGGTGTAAAATATGGAACTAGCAGAATCATAGTTAATGTTTATTCGACATCACAACACTGGAGAATTCTCATACGCGCTCCGTCCACATCTTCAGCAGCAAGCACAGCGTTCCAATTCCGATAGTACCAGTAGTAGCCTGATTGTATATCCGTCTTTTATTTCCCATGAGTGTTGATCGTCGGCCAGATCCCATGGCCACTCCTGGCAGCGCCATCCTCTTCAGATTGTGATAATCCATTGGTGCCTCTGCACTGTTCACTGGCCCCAAAGGTCCCTTACAAAATATAACTTGTCATGCATAAATTCACCACCAAGCCGTGCAGAACCAGCCAGTCTATAGGCTGTTAATTTCCCAGCAAACCGGCATGCACTGAAGAAAATATCTAAACTACCATGGACCTTTGAAGCGACCCTCCAGCGATGCTAGCAGAATCATATACACGGATACGTCAACATGTAAAAGTTGTTTTTTACCGCACGCATTACGTAAATGACGAAAAACTGGTTAGGATCCACTCTAGCTGTTTTTTTTTTTTTTTTAATCTCCCTTTTCGTATCATTATATTTTCAATTCTCTACCCCTAATAATGTGGCAATAAATACTCTTATCTATTTATCTGTTCTCTCTCTCTCTCTCTCTCTCTCTCTCTCTCTCTCTCTCTCTCTCTCTCTCACACACACACACACACACACACACACACACACACCCATACACACACATATGCAATTCCTTAGCACTGCGCCAAGGTCACCTAAAAGCACATTTTGTGATTTGCATCTAAATCAGTTTTAAGAACTCTTTTTTGTCACTTTACAAAATGTCACATGCAAACATATAGCAGTAGTAATTTGAATAAAAATACCTTGTTCAGCCCATCCGGGTTATAATTGTGATATACAGAGTTTTTTTACTTTTTTTTTTCTATTAAAACAAAATGGAATCGTATGGTTACTAATTAGGTTTCATTATAACATATTGCAAAGCTTATATATTAATTATATACTATTGTAAGAATATAGATTGTCACATTAAATAAATTTTAAATTCACAAACATGTGAATTTCTATTCCAAACTGGTTACAAGGAAACCTTACTTTTCATACAGCTGCTCATTTTACATTTACAACTCAATGTTGAAACTCAATATTCTCGAAACATGGAGTTTGGACTTAGTTGACTTTAGTGTAGTGCAAACAAATACATCGGCGTGCATGGCTTTAGAGTTACGAATACAGTTCATAATTCCGAAGTACCCGGTTCGATTTAGCTGCAGTCCGATTTGGCATCAGCAATTTAATATCAACAATGGAATTGTGCATTGACCGTTAAGTAAGAAATGACAACACACACACACACACATAAATATGTTTTTGAGTTTGTCAGGAATAACGAACATGTGAAATAAACCATGCAATTTAAGTTAACCCGTGGATTTTTATCATGGTATGGGGCGTCGCAGGTCGACCCAGCCTAAAATGGGTACCAGGATGGCTGTCCTGGGGAAGTAAAGACGGCCGGCGTAATGCTGACCACATTATCCACCTAGTGCCGATTGGTCTGTAAAATTTTGGGTGCTCTTTCCATATGCCCGATGCGCCTGAAGGCTTTAAAAGGGATCTTTACTTTACTTTTATAAGTTAACCAAATAGTTTATAAGCACACGATTAACACAGGGCAGGATATTGCCAAAACGAGTCCAGGTTCCAGCCAAATGATCAATTCACAGCCAATCTTTTACCAATGGCAGCAGGCATAATTAGTATTCTTTTTATCCGAGTTTCCAGACATACTAGCGGAAAATGAATTAACCCTATCTATCACATTACCACGAAAAAACGAACCTTGTGTGGTTTACGAAAATTGCCTTCACACATCAAACGGCGAGAGACAGGCGGTAATTGTTTACGCTGTGGAAGTAATGATAGATGTTGGTGGGACAATTTTGTAGATTAATCTGGTGAACGTAATATATACGTTCTACTGATGACGTAAAGGAATTGTAGTGCTAGACTCATATTTGTATAAACAAACCACCAGTCTATATGGTCATTATTATGCCTTAACTTAGTGAAATATTCCCTGCTATTCATTTTAGGCTATGTCTGCCTGAGGGAGCCGCCGTGGTGTAGCGGCTAGAGACTTACTTACAGATTCAAAGTTCGTGGGTTCAGATTCTAATGGTGCGGGTCTCTTTTAAAAAATGTCGTTGGTTCCCAGGTTGACCCAGCCCTAAATGGGTTCGAGGTAAAGTCTTGCGAAGTAAAAGCAGTGTAAAGGCGACCAAATCACACACCGAGTGTCGATTGGTCGACAAAATTATACGCCTAGCCTTATATGTTAAACGTACATGAAAACGTCCTTAAGGGTGCTTTACTTTACTTTATGTCTACTTGGGAGTTTAAGCCGATTCTTCCATTTCTTTTATAACATTTCGAGCCCTTGAGGTTCGTTGCCGCAAAAATAACCCTTTTTCGAATTGGTGACATCAAGTGTTTGTGGGTCTGTTTGGATGTTATCTTCCCATCGTCTTCTCGGTCTGCCTTATAATTTACGACCATTCAACTTCCTTGTGTAATTAGTTTTTACCTGTCTGTCATTTGAAATTATTTCAGTATGCCCCAGCCATTTAAGTCTTTGAGCCTTCATGATGCCAGTGACCAGTGGTGATTTAAGCAGATTTTGCTTTAATCGATTAATAAAACACAATCTGCTTTGATACAGATTCTATAATCTAAGACCTTTGTGCTAGAGGGTAAGTATCTAGAGACAACGCTGCCGTAGCTTCTTTCTATTTCGTCTTCACCATCTAGATCTTTATTATCATTATCACTACCAATCATCATTATCAAGATCATCATTCTTAGCATCATCATCATCAATATCATTGTGTTATGCCGTTATATGGGAGCCGCTGTATAGCAGCAGCTAGTCGTTCACCCGAGGATTAAGGTGCTATTTATTACCTTAGGATAAAAATTTATATCTAGTGAAAGTGGTCGGATCTTGAATGTTTCTATGACACCTTATGGCATTCTTTAGTTTTGAAGAATAATTTTGAGATGACAGGTTGTCTTTAGTGCAGAATGCCAACAGTCTTTGCCCATTTTCGTTTATGTAACTAACATTTCGCTTTCCAGTTCAAACTGGTCATGCTTTTGAGCCAGACGCCACACGATCATTAGAATCATCAGTCACGCAAATGTCGTCAGATTTAGAAATTTACTTTACTGCTTTATCCAGTTTCTCATAAAAAGAATCCTTTGCATTGTCAGCTGGTGTTAGCATGGGCTCATATGCAGTGACAATGGTGGTTAAAACCAACAAGGTAGACAATCATAGGCATCATAT